GATGGGCGGCCGAAGGTTAACTTATGGATAAACAGGGGCCTCGTTCCTTACTTAGGGTTCCTTAGGTCAACGCCCCGACTGTACTTGTGTTCCTTCGCTATCCGTGTTCTGGACACCACAAGTGATTGTCAGCTCGACGTGCGTCCATCTGCAAGTCCTCGCCCTGGTGGGAGTGCTGCGGCTGTGGAGGGACTCACGAGGCCCTGGGGTGAGGCGAGGGAGGAGTGGGCGGACAACCGCGACGCTGCGGGCCACGGGCGCTCCTCACCACAGCCCGTCGGACCGTGAGTTCAGTATAGAAGGCTTCTGGACGCGCGTGCGCAGCTCGAGTCGCCCCGGAGAGGCGCTGTCGCCGCTGCGGCCGCCCCTCGCGTCGTGACTCTGAGGTGGCTGCACGTGCTCTTGAGCTGACGTGGGCCCCGATGAGGATCAGGATAAGGAGGATCGACCGAGACTCTGAGGTGGCTGCACGTGGAGCTGAGGAGGATCAGGATAAGGAGGATGAGGCGGAGGAGAAGAGGAGGAGCAGGAGGATGAGGAGGAGGAGGAGGAGGAGGAGGAGGAGGAGGAGGAGGAGGAGGAGGAGGAGAGAAGGAGGAGAGAGAGGAGGAGGAGGAGGAGGAGGAGGAGGAGGGGGAGGAGGGAGAGGAGGAGGAGGAGGAGGAGGAGGAGGAGGAGGAGGGAGGAGGAGGAGGAGGAGGAGGAGGAGAAGGAGGAGAAGGAGGAGAAGGAGGAGGAGATGGAGGAGGAGATGGAGGAGGAGGAGGAGGAGGAGGAAGGGAGGAGGAGGAGGAGGGAGGAGGAGGAGGAAGGGAGGAGGAGATGGAGGAGGAGATGGAGGAGGAGGAGGAGGAGGAGGGGGAGGAGGAGCTCCAGGCACGCCGCGCCCGAGAGGCAGGCGTGCGCCCGAGCCAGCGAGCGGGCCGACAGCCCTGCCGGCGCGGGCCGAGAGCGGTCGCGGCAGCGGCGGGCAGAGCGACGCCCCCAGAGTGAAGTCGGGCGTGTCCCCCGACAGGGGGATCTTCGACGAAAGAAAACACAGATTCAAAGCATGCCCCCAAAAGGGCCAGAAACAAATTGAAAAGGTAGCCCCCCTACGTACGATCTGTTTTTACATGTTTGAGTGCTCCTCCCGACAGGGGGATCTTCGGCGTGTCCCCCCGACAGGGGGATCTTCGGCGAAAGAAAACACAGATTCAAAGCATGCCCCCAAAAGGGCCAGAAACAGATTGAAAAGGTAGCCCCCCTACGATTTGTTTTTACATGTTTGAGTGCTCCTCCTACGATGTTTAAGATTTTTGAGTTCTCCTCCTACGATGTTTTAGATTTTTGCTGAATCGAAAAGGTAGTCCCCCTACGATGTTTTAGATTTTTGAGTTCTCCTCCTGTAGGGGGACGTGCCCGACTGAACCTCAGCGGTGGGGCGGAGCTGCCCGTGGAGGCCAGGCTCGGCGAGCCCCAGACGGTGCGGTTCTGGGCCTCCTATAGATGTGACGGGCTTGTTTTCCGCCACCACCATAGGCTGAAGCGGGAGGGGTCCTCCTCCTCCTCCTCCTCCTCCTCCTCCTCCTCCTCCTCCTCTCCTCCACCTCCTCCTCCTCCTCCTCCTCCTCCTCCTCCTCCCCCTCCTCCTCCTCCTCCACCTCCTTCCCCCTCCTCCTCCTCCTCCTCCTCCCCCTCCTCCTCCTCCTCCTCCTCCACCTCCTTCCCCCCTCCAACTTCTGGTGGTGGTGGTGGAAAACTGGCCCGTCAAGAAGGGGTCCGAGTAGACGGGGTCGGAGGATCGCGCCGCATCGCCTAAGTATCGGCGATGCGGCTCGATGAGGAGCCCGATGTTCTCCACGCCGACGTCGGCGATGCATCGCCGACGACGGCGATGCATCGCCGATGCATCGCCGATGCATCGCCGATGCATCGGCCGTGTATCGCCGATGTATCGGCGATGCGGTGAGATCCTCCGACCCCCTTTATCCCGACCCCCTCTAGGAGGCCTCTAGCCGTGGCCACAGCGTGTGGTGAGTAAGCGGGGGCTCGGGATGACCGCCAGGTTTTGGGATTCGGGCCGCTCTCCGCGGGGACGTCTCGGGTGACTGGGGGGGGTCCCCGAGGTCCCAGCGCCGCGGCGACGGGCCGCGCGGTGAGGTCTTTGGGGATCTTGAGGTCACCGCACGGCCTGTCACCAGTTCGCTTTGAGCTATAAAGTGCGTAGACTTTTGGCGCTCCGCGCGGATCTCTTGTGTCCGCACTGGGACCCCCACCGGCGGCGCCTCCGGCGCCGCCCCTTGTCGCGTTCCGCGGGCCGGGGGGGTACTCCCTCCGGCGCAGATCCGAGGAATCCGCGCGGACCGTCGATTGTAATGTCTGTGTCGTTTGTTCTGTTTCTGCAGGGAGGAAAAACCACCCGGACCCGACCGTTGTCGTTTACTACACTGCCTTGGGCGTTACTAAACCGCCCTGCCCTGTTCGATTCCCTCTTTGGGCACGTTTGCTGAACGGCTCCGCGTGTCGGGGTGGTTATCACCGGGGTGGATCTTCTCTGCCATCTATATTCGAACCTGCAGACAGGCCCACAGGGGCTGCCCAGAGGAGCGTAGTCTTCCTCCTGCTCCTCGTGGGCTGTGAGGGCGCCTGCGGGGCGCAGGCGCGGGTCACTGCCCGCTGCGGGCGACGAAGAGCGACGCGACGCTCCTTTGGATCGCAGCATCGCCGTGCCCATGCGAAGCGCGTGTCGGTCGAACGAGGGCTTGGGGGGCTCCAGGCGCAGTGGCGTCTACAGCACAGTTCTCGGAGGACGTTAATCCATTTGCCTTCGCCGACTCTGGCAGAGCCCATCCTCGACACGGAGTCGGCGTATGTTCGGCGTCACCCCAACATGCTAATACTATGTGTGCGTCGCCCCCCCAAGGGCGGCGCACGCACCGAGAAATCTTACAGTATGTGCGTCGTGGCCGGCGATTTCTGGCCACACCGCTCGAGGAACGATATACTACAAGATGGGTATAATGTATGGTCGCGTCGGACGCGCGCCTCCAAGGATATATAGTACTAGTATGCCTTTGCTCAGGAGGGGACAACACAAAGACACAATTTATCGCCGCTCCCCCGGAAGGTATAGGAACATATGGGAAGTGTGGTGGGGGGGGGGAAAGCGAACATCCAATACATATATATATATATACACACACTTATATATACACATGAATATATATATATATATATATATATACATGTGTGTATATATATAGATGGAGAAAGTATGGAGAATCACGGGACTTGTGTGTGTTTGGGACAGGAATGAAGTCCAAAATAAATCCACGCGAAATTCACGTCGTTTTCCGCTCGCCGTTTTGGGACAAATTCCACGCAAAAATCCACACAATAGTCCGCTGCAGCATGTCTGCAAGGCCGGTGCAATGACATGGCGAGGGCCATGCCATACGTTCCTTGGCCCCACTGGTCCGCGCACATGCCTCGGGCCATGATTTGCCCCCCCCCCCCCCCCCCGCCCCTGGACATCGCCCTCGCAGCCGCCCCCGAACAGACAAAAGACCCCGTTGCGCTGTTTGGGAAGAAGGAGAAAACACGAAAACACGCCATAAACATAAGCTTTTGGCGCTCCGCGCGGATTTCTTGCATCCGCGCTGGGCCCCCCCTCCGGCGGCGCCTCCGGCGCTGCCCCTGGGAGGGGCGCCTCCGGGAGGGGGGTCCAGCGCGGATCCAAGAAATCCGCGCGGAGCGCCAGCAGTTCATGTTTATGCAGTTTTCTCTTCTTCTACCACTGGCGTCGCTCAAGCAAATTTGGCTCGCGCCGCCTTGGGCTCTCAAGGCTCATTGGTTCACGTACGGCTACGTTAAGTTAATCCCCCGACGACGGGTCTCCAGATGCAGATGGCATCAAATTATGTGCTCGTCTTGCTCGTGCATGCACTGGTGAGAATTTCAGCAGCGGTGAATCTTGGGTATTTGTCATCCGCGTCGACGGCAGCACCAACGCCAGATAAGAGGCCGACGGCCACCCCCAAGAACGCGTGGATTTGGAACATGCACGCTAAAGGCGATACAAAAAAGTTTATGTATGACCCAGTCATACTCACATTGGGCGAGGCATTGCGCGATTACGGGGCCAATGTTACTTTCGTGTCCAAGGACAATTTGGAATCGGATGAACACAGAAATGCCTTGCTAGATGATGTCACCGCCACAGTGGCACGTGGCCAGAAGCCTCTCATTGTGGCACTCGCTTTTTTTTTCACTGGTGCGGATGAACCGTTGTCGATCTTGCGGAAGTGCAAAGATCTTGGCGCGTTTGTCGTCTTCTATCAGTCGGAAGCCTATGACTTCTTGGATTTTCACGAGCACCTCCGTATGTGCGATGGTTTGTGCGACGAGATCTGGGATTTCTCGCATGCGAATCTGGACAACTACCCCGAGTCTTGGAGACGTGTTAAAAACCGATACGTGCCCCCAGGGTATGCGCGGGCCTTGGACTTTGGCGTTAGCGTGGCGAAGCAGGGGACACACGTGAAGAATATTGCTTTCCTAGGCCAGTGGGGTGTCCGACGCGATTATCGAGGAGCTCCGTTGGAGCCACTGTACCGCGAAGTGTTCGGTACCAAGCTAGTCAGCAAGAACGACATCCATACGGCAGAAGATTTCACTGGGTTCTTCACAGAATATCCGGTGCAATTGGTCACGTACAGGAATGAGAATTGTTGCCCAAGTACAAATGTTTTGTTGGCATTCCGCATGGCGCAGCTCTTCTCGAATCGAGCCTGTGTCATATCGGCTCGCGCCTACCCGCATGACGAGGAGGAGTTTCAGGGCATAGTGCACTTCGCGGAGCGGTCCCAAATAGCCAAAGTGTTCGACGAGAAGAGCAGGGATGTCGGCAACTGCCAGAAGCAGGGTTTCGAGAAGTTTAAAGCCAAGTTCAAGCCCTTTTCGATTTTGAAGCGCTCTGGCTTCTTCGACGTCTGGTAACTCTCTAACTCTGGACATGTCGGGCTCTTCTCTTCTCCTCTACTCTCTTCTCTTCCTCTCTCCCCCTCGTTCTCGTGGTCGTCGTGATATCAGATCCCCAGGGGCCTGCAGAATCTTCCGCAGCAGGCCCGAACAGGGGTTCATGCTCCAGGATGCCAGTGCCAGGGACTGATTTTCCCTCGCCATTGTGTCCTGCCGTCGCTCTGGGGCATCTTACCAGGAGCGAGGGGCGAACGCGGACTCAAGATATCCGCGCGCAGCGCCAACAGTTTGTGTTACGCTACCCGCTGTCTCTTTCAGTCTTGACCAGGCCCCCCCCAGGAAAAAAACATGTTGCTAGCCCTGGTCTGCCGGCCGCGCGAAGCTCTTCCCAGCCTTGGCCAGTCTCCATTTCAGAGGAGGGAAAGGTACCCATACCTCTACCCTTCCTCGTTTTGCCCTTTGGGGCCTCCCCGGAGGCCCTCGTCGCCACCGCTGGGTTCGCCCCTAAATCTTGACCAGAACTCACCCCAGGTGAGGCCGGGGAGTAGCGGTTTCGGTACCTTTTGTTTTCCACACCGTTGGCTCCACCCACATCTTCTCCCAGGCGTTTTCGCGCCTTCCAAGAAGCAGGGGTGCTTCTAAGAAGCCTTCCCCCCCTCCCCCCTCCTTTGCGCGCGGCCGAGTTGGGGGGGGACTCTGGGCCAAGCACTTCGAGGTTCGGGGCGTGAGGTGTTGAGGCGTATTCGTTTTGAGCAGGGACCGACCGTCCCTGCATTTCAATAGGCCAACCAAGACAAGTTCCTTAAAACCCCAAGCTGTTTTTATAACAGCAACAAAGTTCTAATAACATAAGCCCGATGTGTCAAAACAAGACAGTGTCAATCGTACGTGTCCTAGGAACATCTCGTGCAGACCACAAAAGCTTCTTAGAATCTTCTTTGGTAGGCGTATAGGCGAGCCAGGACGCTTCGCCACTGCTTGATCGTTGGTCCTGAGCGATTTTTGCAGCCCCGGGTTGTCGATCTCGGATCGGTTCGTCGATCGAGGATCGCATCTTTTCCCGGGAGGGCGCCCTGGCTCAAGGGCCCTAAACGGCAGCGGGGCGCAAGAGCATCAGGAAAGATGGGGGACAAGGAGAAACAAGGCGAGAAGGATGAAGCGAGAGGTGACACACCTAAATGGTGAAGGGCATACGGTTGACACGGGTTGCCTTCCGACTGGTGCGCCTCGCCGACAGCGTCCCGGGGATGCCCGCATCGTGTCCCGCCCGGCCGCACGAGAGCCGACCATTCGGCGCGAAAGCCACGGGGCAACGGCGTCGACCTGGAACTGGCGATGCATCGCCGATACCTCACCACCCACCAAACCACCCCAACCCAACCCGAAGGCTCAGATTTGCCCTCCATTTCCAGTTGGGGGGGGGTCGGGGAACATCGAGAAAACACGCATGGAACCCGTACCCCCCCCACCCGAAATTCGGGTCTTCGGGTTGGGTTGGGGTGGTCTGGTAGGTGGTCAATACCTCGGCGATGGCTCCCTGGTCGCAGACCTGCACGGGGTGTTTTGGCGCATCGTACGAAGCGAGGGCCACGAGATCTGGGAGATGTCATGGCCCTGGTCAATCCCCCCCTGATCACAGGTCGGGCATTTCCTCCTGCAGGAGGATATTGGAAGCGAAATGAAATGACAAAAACAACTTACTCCTTCATAGCGAAACTCAGTCAAAACATCGTCCCCAGACTGTCTTTGCACTGTTTGTGCATATTCCTCCTCTAGAGGTTTTTTGTCTTCCGATGCAGGGCAGTGCCTTTGAGACGCAGCCTCCTTCTGAGAAGCCTTCCTCCCTCCCCCTACCCCCCTCGAGCACAGCTTTAACGCAACATCGTTGTTTTACGCTCTGGAATTCAAGAAGTTGCGTAACACGTCGGCGTATATTTTCAGAATCCGTGTAGTAGCAGCGCGTTCTAACGCACGCGCGTTGTTTCTTATGCATTCTGAGCCTCTGGGTCTGCGCGCTGCCCGAGGGCGGAAACTCCTCCAGCGCCTGCTTCTTGGCCGTGCCGTGGGACCGCGTTCGCCACGCGAGGTGCCCCAGCAGAGCACCCCGATGACAGCAGAGGTGAAGAGGCGCGTCGAGGAGTACAGGAGGTCGACACACGGCCGTGGGCACCTCGGTGCGTGCGTGCGTGCGTGCGTGCGTGCGTGCGTGCGTGCGTGCGTGCGTGCGTGCGTGCGTGCGTCCTCGGGGAGCTCGGCCCGATCGGTTCCTGGCGGCCCCCGGAGGCCAGGAGGCGGCCCCCGCAGGCCGAGGACGTGGGAAACATGTCACCACCCACCAAACCACCCCAACCCAACCCGAAGGCCCAAATTTATCCTCGATTTCCAGTGGGGGGGGGGGTCGGGGAACGTTGAAAAAACACATGGTATCCGTACCCCCCCCCAACCCGAAATTCGGGTCAAATTCGGGTCTTCGGGTTGGGTTGGGGTGGTCTGGTAGGTAGTCAACATGGCCGCAGCGAGCATCTTTCGAGGCTGGCAGGCCTCCTGCCCTGACACGTCGATCAGCGAAGTGGCCCTTTCCGGGTCGCGAGAGGGCATCGCGGCCGTCATGCTTGCGGGTCCCGGTCCGTCGGCTTCTGTCCGGGGCCGCTCTCGCCGAAGGGTGGTTTGCTAAAGGGGCGTTTGTCCACCGCCGAATCTCGCATCCCCCCGCCCCCAACGCCACTGGCCACCCACTGCGCCGCCGGCCGCGGGAGGAAGCGGCGGAAGGCGAAGGACCAGCAGCAGCAGCCTCTGCCGCCGGCAGGCGCCCCCGCGGCCCCAGACACCTCGGGAGACTCTTCATGGGGGGGGATCCCATGGGGGGATCGGATCCCAAGGGGGGGGGATCCCATAGGATCCCCTGGGGATCCCATTGGGGGGGATCCCCTCCTGCCCCCCCATGGGATCCCCCCCCATGGAGAGTCTCCCGAACACCGGCCCCCGCGGCCCGGCGACCCGGCCAGTCTTCCTTCCGCGCCCTGGGGCGGGTGGCAGTCCCGTAGTCGCCCATCGGTACGAACGAAATGGGTACGGACAGAATGGGCACAATGCCCAACAGCAGTTCCTATTCATCCTGAACACAAGGCTCTCCGCCCACCAAACCACCCCAACCCAACCCGAAGGGTCTGATTTACCCTCGATTTCTAGTGGGGGGGGGTCCCGGAACATCGAAAAAACACATATGGAGCCCATACCCCCCCCAACCCGAAATTCGGGTCTTCGGGTTGGGTTGGGGTGGTCTGGTAGGTAGTCAAAGGCCACCTGCCCAACAGCGGCCGCTGCTGGTTTCGGACAACATTTGTTGTTGGGCATTCTAGCCAGTTTGTCCGTACCGATTTCGGGCGTCGAAAGCCCAGGGAGGGGGAGGGGGGGGAGGGGGGAGGAGGGAGGCGGGGGAGGGACGGCAGGGGAGGGGGGCGAGGAGGAGGGAGTGAGGGGAGGGGACTTGCGTAAGAGGACTTGCGGTGGGCACTCCAGCCCTTGCCCCGCGTTCGCACCGCGGCGTGGACGAGCCACCACCCTGGGGCGGGTGGCAGTGCCGGAGTCGCCCAAAGGGACCCAGACCCTCGTGAATCATGAGAACATCTGATGCTGATGCTGATGCAGATGGCGACAGTGATGGTGATCGTGATGGTTCAAGCAGTGGCGAAGCGTCCTGGCTGGCCTCTCGCCTACGGGCCCACCGAAGAATGTTATGATAACCTTCTGTGGTATGCACGATATGTGCTTATACCATTTTGTGTTGGGACCGTCTTGTTTTGACACAGCGGGCTTATGTTAGAAGGACAGTGTTTGTGTTATTAGAGCACTTCTGGGTTCTAAGAACATGTCGTGGTGGGCCTAAAGGAATGCTGGGACGGGCGGTCCCTGCTCACGTGGTGGGGGTGGTGATGGTGATGGTGATGATGGTGATGTTGATGAGGATCGTGATGGTGATGGTGATGGCGATGGTTGTGGAGGTGGTGTTGATGATGTTGTTGGTGATTTTGTTCTAGGTGATGATGATGATGATGATGATGATGATGATGATGATGATGATGATGATGATGATGATGATGCTGATGCTGATGCTGATAATGAGGGGGAGGAGGAGGAGGAGGAGGAGGAGGCGGAGGAGGATGAGGCAGTGCCCAGGGAGCAGAGTGAGAAGGGGGAGTGAGGAGGAGTAGATAGGGGGGGAGGTCTGGGAGAGGAGGGGAGTGGTCAAAAGCGCCGTAGGCTTCGTCATCCATGGGATGCGCCACAGGCTGCATAATCCACTTGCTGCCGCTGCTCCCATCCACGGGTCGCGCCGTTGGGTGCGCCACAGGTTGCGCCTTGGGCTGCCAAATCAACAGTGCGCATAGGTTGCGCCATGTGAGCGTTTTTTGAATTCATTCTTTTGCCGATCGGCGCGGGCCCCTAAACCCCCCCTGCCCCCCCTCCCCATGGAGTAGATCTTGGCTGTTTTGGCGCCTGTTTCGAGCGGGAGGACTCTCCCCTCAGGACGCACTGTTCCAAACAGTCGCACCAAGCAGAGGTCAAGAGCCAGACCCCCCCCTCCCCCCCTTCCGCCCAATGTCGAAGCACCGAATGTAAAACAACTGTTCACCGCTTGCCGAAAATACAACGGCTTGCCAACAGCAGGCCGATGTAGATCTGGTGTTGTGCCATACGTTGCCCACGCGGTTGCCGAAGGTAAGCCAGTCTGCCATCGATTGTGGAACATGTTTCGCACTCGGCTTGCCGACAATACGCAAGTCTGCTACTAGTTGCGCGCTCGTTGGCCGAACAGAAGATGGTCTGCTATGTGTTGCATCATATAAACTGTGCACCCGGCTTCCAGAATTAGAATGGCGTGCTAACGGGTGTGGCCCGTCCAGTGAGCCAGTCAGTCAAATTGGCATCCAGCCAGCTCAGCTTGCGGAGCTGGAGACCGTGTTCGGGCGGTACGCCCGACATAAGGAGTAGGAGGCGAGAGGAGAGGAGGAAGCGTCAGTGGAGGAGGAGGAGGAGGAGAAGCCATGACCAAGCCGATACATGATCAAAGGCACGAGTTTTTCGCAGAGCTTGCCTTCGAAGTGGTCCTGGGCCGTGGGGATCACACCTGGAGAGCAGGGCGAGGGGAGAGGTTCCTCCCCCGCACGGCGCTGCCCTCTCCGTGCCCACCTCGCCCCTCTCCGGATTTCGGGGTGGCGCCAGCTGGGTCTGCGTCCCCACCCCACCCCCTTCTCCCCCTCCTCCTCCTCCTCCTCCTCCTCCTCCTCCTCCTCCTCCTCCTCCTCCTCCTCCTCGGGCCCCCTCCTAACGGCAGGAAGTTTTTCGGTGATCACGCTTTCTCTGCACTGGCTGGCAGGCAGGCGCGACTGATTTGGCAAGTTTCCTTGGTCTGTGGAGTCTGCAGCCTCAATGCAATGTTCTGATGTGCACGAGCGTGCTCCTCAGCGAGGCACGCACGACTCCGGCGCTCGTCTCTCGCCTGGCCTCCAAACGCACGGGATCGAAGAAGCGAAAACACGCTATAAACACATGGTTGAGATCGCGGCGACGCGTGCGCCGTCGGAGGGCTAGCGCCGACCCAAGACATCGGCGCGGACGTTCATGTTTCTTGGGCTCTCTCTCTTCTGTCTCTTCTTCTGAGGGGCATGGGCCCTGAGGGGAGCTCCCGCCCAGCAGCCTCTCTTCGAACCTCGCGCTGGCCTCGACCTCCGGGCACGCTCCGACCCGTCGGGCGCCGCGTGCCCTGTTTTGTTGTCGCGCTGCTCCGGGGGAGCACTCCGCGCGGCACTCCGGGGGGGGGCACCCGCAGGCGGCCGACGGGGGACCTGCATCCGCTGCAGTGGAGACCCATGCCAGGCAGCACCCTGCTTGCCTCGAGGGTGCCCGGGGTTTCTCGGGTTTCGATGGTCTCGCTGCGGAGCGCGCGTCGGTCCCACACCAAAGATCCATGGACGTCCTTCGGGGGCCCCCAAACGGGGTGGTGACCACACCGTGTGGTGAGTCGGTGGGGATTCGGGGTCACCGCACGGTTTTGGGACTCGGGTCGTTTTCCGAGGACGTCTCGGGCGATTGGGGCCTCCGAGGTCCCCAAAGCCGTGCGTTGACGGACCGTGCGGTGAGGTCTTGGGGGATTTCGAGGTCACCGCACGGTCTGTCACCGCACCGTTTCGGGACTCCAAAGACGTTTCTTAATGTAGGCCTACTAGCCTACCGATTTCCGTCGATTCGATGTTTCCCGACTTGGCTTCCGATTTTCGCCGATCCGACTCATTTCGATCGCCGATCCGACTTATCGATTCGACTCTGGGTTCTCCTGTCCTGGGGTCTCCGGTTGGGGCTTCCTGCGGGAGGTTTCCGGTGGACGGGCCTCCACTGCAGGCGCGGCGCGCTGGCCGCCTCGCGGGCCGCGGGCGGTTGGAGCGACGCGCCGCGCCGCCGACCCAGCAAGGAGGAGGAGGAGGAGGAGGAGGAGGAGGAGGAGGAGGAGGAGGAGGAGGAGGAAGAGGAGGAGGAGGAGGAAAAGGAGGAGGAGGAGGAGGAGGAGGAGGAGGAGGAGGAAAAGGAGGAGGAGGAGGAGGAGGAGGAGGAGGTGCAGTGTAAAACCAAGAAGCATCAACGATGTTTGAATGTACCTCCCCTCCAAGCTCCTTCTTCGCAGGCTACCACAACGGTTTGTTTCCATTGAGGGAACTGCCCCGTTGGAAGATAACCGTTTGAGGATCCTGAAACATGCCTAAACATTTTTCTCGGGATCCCAACGCCACGCATCAACGTGTCTGCTGCGGCGGGACGCCAGCACAGCGAACCGACATAACTGTTGTACACGCATAATCCGGAATCCTTCCAAAACACAGTTTTTGGTTCGTTGATCATGGGAATCAGTCAAATTCTTGCAAGTTTTGATAGCGTGTGCGCGCAGCGGGGAGGCGAGAGCCACATTTTGAAAAAGAACCGCTTTGAATCCGTGAAACTCTTGCAAGTTTTGAAAACGAATGCGCGTGGTGCTAAGGCGGGCACCACATGATGAAAAGGAACCGTTCTCAATCCGTGAAAGTCTTGCAATTTTTAAAACGAATGCGCGCGGTTCTATGGCGAGAACCACATTTTTGAAACGGCCGCACTCAAGCCGCGAAGCTCTTGCAAATGTCTAAAACGAATGTGCGCGGCGCTAAGGCGAGAGCCACATTTTGAAAACGACCCGCCCTCAATCCGTGAAGGTCTGGTAAAGGTTGAAAACGAATGTGCGCGGCGCTAAGGCGAGAGCCACATTTTGAAAACGAGAACGAATGAACGCGGTGCTTAAGCGAGAGCCACATTTTGAAAAGGGCCCGCCCTCAATCAGTGAAATTTCTGCAATTTTCATGACGGATCTCCGCGGCGCTTAAGCGAGAGCCACATTTTGAAAACGGCCCGCCCCCCATTTGTGAAACAACTGTCATTTCTTAAGCTGCAGATCCGTAAATGGTGAGGAAGTCTCTGGCGAAACGCTCGGCCCGCCCTACAAACCAGCCTCGGGGTGCGACAGGGCGGAGTTCTCTATAAAGAGAAGGAAAGGAGGAGGAGGAGGAGGAGGAGGAGGAGGAGGAGGAGGAGGAGGAGGAGGAGGAGGAGGGAGGAGGAGGAGGAGGAGGAGGGAGGAGGAGGAGGAGGAGGAGGAGGAGGAGGAGGAGGAGGAGGAGGAGGAGGAGGAGGAGGAGGAGGAGGAAAAGGAGGAGGAGGAGGAGGAAAAGGAAAAGGAGGAGGAGGAGGAAAAGGAGGAGGAGGAGGAGGAGGGGGAGGTGCAGTGTAAAACCAAGAAGCATCAACGATGTTTGAATGTACCTCCCCTCCAAGCTCCTTCTTCGCAGGCCCCCACAACGGTTTGTTTCCATTGAGGGAACTGCCCCGTTGGAAGATAACCGTTTGAGGATCCTGAAACATGCCTAAACATTTTTCTCGGGATCCCAACGCCGCGCATCAACGTGTCTGCTGCGGCGGGACGCCAACACAGCGAACCGACATAACTGTTGTACACGCATAATCCGGAATCCTTCCAAAACACAGTTTTTGGTTCGTTGATCATGGGAATCAGTCAAATTCTTGCAAGTTTTGATAGCGTGTGCGCGCAGCGGGGAGGCGAGAGCCACATTTTGAAAAAGAACCGCTTTGAATCCGTGAAACTCTTGCAAGTTTTGAAAACGAATGCGCGTGGTGCTAAGGCGGGCACCACATGATGAAAAGGAACCGTTCTCAATCCGTGAAAGTCTTGCAATTTTTAAAACGAATGCGCGCGGTTCTATGGCGATAACCACATTTTTGAAACGGCCGCACTCAAGCCGCGAAGCTCTTGCAAATGTCTAAAACGAATGTGCGTGGCGCTAAGGCGAGAGCCACATTTTGAAAACGACCCGCCCTCAATCCGTGAAGGTCTGGTAAAGGTTGAAAACGAATGTGCGCGGCGCTAAGGCGAGAGCCACATTTTGAAAACGAGAACGAATGAACGCGGTGCTTAAGCGAGAGCCACATTTTGAAAAGGGCCCGCCCTCAATCAGTGAAACTTCTGCAATTTTCATGACGGATCTCCGCGGCGCTAAAGCGAGAGCCACATTTTGAAAACGGCCCGCCCCCCATTTGTGAAACAACTGTCATTTTTTAAGCTGCAGATCCGTAAATGGTGAGGAAGTCTCTGGCGAAACGCTCGGCCCGCCCTACAAACCAGCCTCGGGGTGCGACAGGGCGGAGTTCTCTATAGGAGGAGGAGGAGGAGGAGGAGGAGGAGGAGGAGGAGGAGGAGGAGGAGGAGGAGGAGGAGGAGGAGGAGGAGGAGGGAGGAGGAGGAGGAGGAGGAGGAGGAGGAGGAGGAGGAGAGGAGGAGGAGGAGGAGGAGGAGGAGGAGGAGGAGGAGGAGGAGGAGGAGGAGGAGGAGGAGGAGGAGGAGGAGGAGGAGGAGGAGGAGGAGGAAGGAGGAGGAGGAGGAAAGGAAAAGGAGGAGGAGGAGGAGGAGGAGGAAAAGGAGGAGGAGGAGGAGGAGGAGGAGGAGGAGGAAAGGAGGAGGAGGAGGAAGAGGAGGAGGAGGAGGAGGAGAGGAAAAGAGGAGGAGGAGGAGGAGGGAAAGGAGGAGGAAAGGCATCCCCTACGAGGCCCTCCCAACCGATGGGAAACCGGCGGCCCCCCTCCCCCCCGGAGGGCGGCAGCCGTGCTTCTCTCCTGCGGAGCGCAGGCCGCGCGCCCCGAGCCCGCCGCGCTCGCGCAGAGGCCCCGCCGCGGCCGTGCTGCTCGCAGAGCTGGCGCCCCCCGCCGACCTGGCGACGAGGACGGCGCGCCGCGGGCGTCGCTGGGGGGAGGGCCGATCCCAGACATGCTCGCGTCGTAAAAAAATCAAGACGGGAGGTTTTTAACTATTTTCGACCGTCGGGGGCCCGCCCTCGCTGGGCCTTCGCGGGGCCCCGGGACCGTCAAAAAACGACTCAGGATGGAAAACCGGTCCCGGGGAAAGGGTCGGGACTGCCAGGGACGCCGTCTGGAAAAAATCAAGACGTCGCATGTGTGGGATGCGAAGATCGGGTCCGGGAGCCTGTCCGTTGCATTGCACCTAGTTCCCAGATGTCTTAAACACCGGCGATTCGCAAGCATGGACTGAGGGGGCGTGGATCAGCGACGGGCCCCGCTCCCATAGGACACCGCGGATTTTTCGCCGCGGAGCGAGGCGGCACTTGTTGCACTTTGAGGAGGGCGCCTCCCCCAATCCATGGATTTGGCGACCGCGCGCCAAACCCATGGATCGCTATTCCATGTGCGCGCGCCCCCGAAACATGTTTGAACTATGTTTCTAAAGTGTTGAAGCATTTTTCAACATCTCCCGGACATGTTTACAACATGCCGAATATATTATACATGCATGTTCAAGCCAGTAGTACGCTTAGCGTGCCCGTTGCCATGGCGTCCACAACGCTGCACCATGATGCGTTTGTCTGCCACTCGGTTGCATATGGCGGCCAGCACATCGTGTGCAGCGCCAGAGAGTGATGCACATGTGTTGCCCTTTGTTCCGTAGCCCATCTGGTTCGAGCCCTGTTCTCCCTTCCGCTTTCCCCCATCGCTGGACAACGCAGCCCGCCTGGGACCAGCGGGGCGGCGCGCGCGGCCTCCCCATGGCAAGCTTCCCGCCACGTGTCGTTGACCTCTTTCCTTTTGCGGAACTGGAGGAGGGAGAGGCGGAGGAGGAGGAAGTTTCAGAAGAGTGGCAGGAGGAGAAGGAGGAGGAGGAGGAGGAGGAGGAGGAGGAGGAGGAGGAGGAGGAGGAGGAGGAGGAAGAGGAGGATTCCTCATGCGGAACTGGAGTGTCGTGGTCCTTCCCCGCTTGCCAAGGGGCGCCCCTGGCGGCGCCATGGGAGCGGCGTCAGGGGGGGCCCTGCGCCATCGAGCCGAGGGAAGGGGTGCGAGCAGGATGGCGCTGAAGCGGGCGCGGCGATACGAGGGGGCGGGAAGGTCGGCTTATGCCGGGCATGCTTTGCAAAATCGAGGCCCGGCGATGTATACATGAGTTGGGCCAGACTTATATGTAAATTAGCGTGCAACTTGGGTTCGTTTTTTGTCGTTCTATAAGTCTGGCTTAGTTGCCAGCTAAGTCTCTAACTTCCCGCGGCATTTGTTTTTGAAATTCTTTTAACTTGTCTTAATCGTCCCATTGCCTGAACGTTTTCCAGCTGTTCTTTAACTTTTTCTTAGCTTCCCATAGCTCTTTTGAGTTTCCCGACTTTTATAACTTCTTGGGGGGCATGGGCGAGAAAGGAAGGGGGGCGCGAGGATGGCGGAAGGGCGAGGAGGAGGAGGAGGGGGGGGGTGACTTCGACGGGTTCGGCGCGGGCGGGCGCGCGCGCCCCGGCCCCCTCCTTGGAGGGGTCGTCGTCGGGTCTTCGTCGGTCGCTTTCCTTTTCCAGGGGCTTGGCACGTTCGAGGCTTGCCGACGGGCCTGTCGTCGTCGTCGCCGTCGTCGTCGGCTGTCGTTTTCGTTTTCGTCGCCGCGCCACGCCCCAGCCCCTAGGGGGATAGGGGGGGGGGGGAGACGAGAGGGGGCGGACTGCGCGCGCCCGCGCCCCCGCCGCCGTTTCTCCTTCCCCCTCCCTCGACAGGTCGTCGTCGCGTCGTCGTCGCTCGTATCCCACCTCCAGGGATCCGTCTGTCTGTCTGTCCGTCTGCCTGTCCGTGCGTCTGCGTGTCTGGATCGTTTTAGGGCCCATGTCGATGTCAATGGTAAGCTTCGTACGTCGCTGCAGGGGCTTGGAGGCTGGGCGGCCCTGACAGGCGTCGTCGTCATCGTCGCCGCCCCCCGCCCGTAGCCCATGGAGCTCAGCGTCGCGGCCCCCGCCATGCAGCCCGCATCTAAAAAACCAAGGCTGGTTCAAACAGTTCAGAATGCTGGTTCGCGACAGCCGCTCGCAGCGCTGAGCCGTTCACCCGACGGCTTGCAGGGCGACGGCGACGACGATTATGCTTTTGGGAAGGTCGCCGCGAGTCGTTATCTTGAGGGGCTGACGACGCACAGCGGTGTCGTGTTCAAGCAAATCGATAGTCCTTTGGACGACGGTACTTTTCCCCAGTGGACAGTCCCGCGCCCCTTCTCATTGCTGGCGCGCCTGCGTGATGGGCGCTCGCTGTTCGCACGTTTTTTTCTATAGTGACAAAAACACGGGGCCATATCGGGCCTGAACACGGCGTTCCGACAATATTTATATCGGCGGCGCGGGAGGATGAAGCAACAGGCGGGCGCCGATTCCGACCTCGTCGCGTTGGCAAGTACCTGAGCATGTCTCACATGTTTCGTGACCGGCCTGAGTGGTTCCGCGCGGCGGAACGCGGCCGGTTCCCATTCGGGGCGCTGCCGCGTTCGCAGCTGATGTGGGCCAAAGGTAAATATGGCGGCGTTTTGAAACATGTGTTCCGCAAGTTCCTCCTGGAACCAAGCTGCTTCTGGTCTGAATTGCGATTGAGCGACGATTCTGGGAACATGCATGTTTCGAGGCCCCGGCCCCGCTGCGCGGCGCAGGGCGAAGAAGCGCACAGAGAGGCCAAAGCTGTCAAAGGCACCGTTGATACCAGTCGTCGCTCTAGTTGCAAAAACGCCATTGCATCGCCGCCCCGTCTGCGCGCGAAGGGCGCGGGGCGCGAGGGGCCGCGGGGCCGTGGCTAGAGGGGGTGGGAGCGAGATCACGGACGGCGCGAACAACGGCGCCACGGCGGGGGGCGGGGGAGGAGGGGGCGGGAGGGGGGGGAGGGGGAGGGCGAGGAGAAGGAATGGGGGGGGGCGGGCGGGGGGGGCGACGAGGATGGCGAGGGCGGGGGCCGGGGGGGGGATACGGGGCGGAGGCGGAGGGGTGCTGGGGTCAAAGAAGGAAAGGGCGATGAAAAATGAGCACGCCGCGGTGCCCCATTCGGTTGGGGCGGCGCGCGTGCAATGGCGAACCCAGTAAACCGCGCGGGAACAATGATATTGCGCCTGCGGGCCCGCCCTGCCACCGCGTCTGGGTGGCGGGCCCGCGGGGTCATTGTGGCGCGTGCCGTTCACTGCGGTGCCCTTCGGGGCCTTGGTGGGCCCTGCTGGGCCAAGCTTAGATAAGGGCATGGCAATTGAGGCTCGGATCATCTGATGGGGGAGTGGCGTTTTCCGTCGCGGTGCGCTCTCGGGTCGTCTCGGGGCCGTTCGAGCATCGCGTTGGCGCCTTCTGGGGTTCCGAACCCGATCGGGGCGCGGCGGCGGATCTTGTCCACTACGCCTCGGCGTTGCCTGCTAGATTCGATCCTCGCGGCGATGCGTCGACGCGGGAGATGCGCGATAAGTTGAGTCACAAGAAAGTGGTGTTACCGAAAGGTCAGTTGAACAAGCTTCAGCAAGCCTACGGGCTCAACTTCGAGCCAGACACTCTATGGTGCGACGTTAGATTCGGCTTCGCGCGCCGCCGATATAGACGCGTCAGTAGGATTGAACGCGCATCGGGTGCGCTTCCGGAGAGGTAGGCCAATGTCATATCAATGCGTTTGTGCACGTGCACATTCAAACCGGCATAACAGCGCTCGGGAAGCTCGACGGTTTCCCTTGGCAATCATGGCGTGCACCACGTCTCGGCACCAGAAGCTTGCTCGCGCGCTTTCCCAGGATATGACCCCCAGAAAAGTCTGACGGCCACGCGAAGGCCTTTGCTGCCGAGGTTCGCACGGCAGTCGCAGTGCTAGCCCATCGGACGACCTTCGGCCCCCGCCGACGTGGCCCCCAACTGTGAGGGACTGGGTGGCGGGGGTGCGGGGGTGGGTGGCGGGCAGGAGGAGTGATGCGCCGATGTGTGTGTGTATATATATATATATATATATTGAAGCATACATCCATACATTTTTAATGCACAAGCATTGCGGGCGAGCAGGGGGCGCGCATCGAGGGCCCGAGGTTGCCGCGCGCTCCGCCGACCGAATGTTGGGCTGGCGGAGTTTTGCGTTTTGTTGCTGGGGCCCAGGGGTATTATGTCTGCTCGCTTTGCCTGCTCTGCTCTCTTGCGAAAGGGTATATCGTCGCCTCTCGGCGCGCTCAGCCCCCCCCCCCCCCGCCCCCGTCGCAGCCCCTCGCGGCGCGAGGCGCCCGCGTGCTCGTTCGGTGCGAAACGATCGGATCTCATGGCGCGAAGCCTGGGGCGCGCCGCAGGGCGGGCGGCGGGCGGACGTATTAACTTTAGGAGGTCGGGCCGTGCAGCGCGCCAATCGGTTGGCGGACTTGCTGCGGCGGCGCCGCGTTTAGTTTCTCAGGCTGCGCGGCCGGAGCTGCATCAAAATCAAGATGCACCTCGCGCGTCGCGTCCGAGGCCCGCGGCCCCTGCTCTGTCAGCTTGTTTTTCGGCAGCCAGGCCGTTGCCGACCTTGTGATCGATGCGTTTTTGGCTGTCGGCAGACCGTCGCGGGGCGATGCGCCGCGCGAGTTGCCTCGATCAGGGTCGCGGTAGCGCGGCGTAGTGCATCCAGGAACGACGCGCGCGTCATTGGCAATCGACGTGCTCTGTGGGGCGCGCGCCGCGTGTTTTAGACAGGTAGTGCTCGCAGTCCCCTGGCGCGGGTCGGGGGGTCGACCCGCGCCTCGCCGCTCTGCCGGCAGCGAATTCCGAGCCGAACAAATTCGACAGTAAAGCGATTTTTTGTTTTTATTTGTTTTATGTTTTTTTCTTCCCCCTGTTCCGCGGCGCAACGGGTTGCCCGCGGTCGATTTTGATATATATATATATATATATATATAACGTCTTGACGCCAAAACACCGAAACCAACCCGCCGAAACATGTTCAAATACCAGACATCGTGAAAACTGAGAACGGGAATGTAACCTAAGCCTACTTTGCTTGCGTTTCATATTTGTTATCCTGGCCCCCCCCCTTCCCCCCACCCCCGCCTCCGTTCGCAGCGGCAGAAGCGGCGGCAGCAGCGCTGCCGCGAGGCGGCGGGGGCGTCGTCGACGCCGCAACTACAGCAGGGCGACAGCGCAAGAGGAGGGGGGGCGGAAGCAGGAAGAGCGATATCAGCAGGAGAAGGAACATGATTACTAAACTCCTCTCGGGGGGGCGATCTTCCGAGCTGGTCTGAAGCCGCCCGAGGAGAGACCTTCGGCCGAGAGTTTGGGCATCCGACCTCCGACCCACCCCGCCATGACGGCCCCATGGGTTTCGGAACTCAAATCGACCCGCCACGACCCCCGGCAGCGCGAGGGGGCGGGAGAAGCCAGCGAGACATGAGCCAGCATGCAGGCAGCACAGCGGAGGAGCCCAAGCGAGAAGCGAGAGGGAAGGCGAGGTGAGGGAGCCAGCGCAAGCTCGCAGCGCGGCAGCAGCATGGGGGGGGGGGGGGGGCGCGGCACACACACATCTACTCTGTACGTTTGGGAGGAGAACGAGAAAGAAGAGGAGGAGGGGGAGGGGGGGAGGAGGGGGGGGAAGAGGAGAAGGAGGAGCAGGAGGAGGAGGAGCAGGAGGAGGAGGAGGAACACTGAGCCATGGGCAGGACGGGCATGGAAGACGGCACCACGCCATGCTTCGATTTTGCTGCAGGCCATTGTTCTTTGTGATGGCGCATGGCATCGCTACTCCTAGCGGGGGCCGCGAACGGAGCGGGGCCGTTGTAGATGGTCAGCAACAGCCAGCCATGAAGGCCGTCACGGCCACCAAGGCCTCCAGAGCGCCTGCTTGTCAACCCGCCCCCGCAGCCAGCGGCGACGGGGGGGGGGGGGGGGCGGCGCCGGGAATGGCACCGCGCAGCGCCTGGGGGCCAAGCCGCCGGGGCCACGCCAGGGGGGGCCACCAACTGAGAGAGGGCCCCCGCTCGAGACGTCCGCGCGCAGGAAGACGACGCGCCGACCCCGCCTTCCTCCTGAGGAAGGAGGAGGAGGAGGAGGAGGGGGAGGGGGGGGGGGCAAGGAGGAGGAGAAGGAGGAGAGGAGGAGGGATGAAGGAGGAAGGGCGAGGACGAGGAGGAGGAGGGGGAGGAGAGGAGCGGGAGAAGGAGGAGGAGGAGGAAGAGGGGGAGGAGGAGGAGGAGGAGGAGGGGGGGAGGGGCGTCGGGGCCAGTGCAAAGGGGAGGGGCGACAAGTAATCACAGCACGGCCTCGGGGAATACATATATATATATATATATATATATATATACAGGCAAGCGTCGGGCGACGGCCGCGCTGACCGAGTTCCGCAAGAAAGTGTGAGGGGGTCTGAACATTCCAGGACAGGCCATTTCAGAGATCCCCTCCTGTGGGATTACCTATCCGAAGCCTCGCTCCCGCTGGCCCCCGCGGCCTCCCCCGAAATCAGACTCCGTCGCCGCTTTTCTTACGGAACACGGATGAGTAGCATGTGGGTCTCCTCCTCCTCCTCCTCCTCCTCCTCCTCCTCTTCCTCGCCCTTCTCGCCCTCATCCTGGCCCCCCTCACCTCGAGCGGAGGTCAGCCTTCAGCCCGCGCGGGCCGTCGGCGACCCGTCGACGCGGCGGACGCCGCCGTCGCCAAACAAAACCTCCTCCTCATCCTCCCCCTCATCCTCCTCGTCCTCCTCCTCCCCCTCCTCTTCGTCCTCCTCCTCCTCCTCCCCCCTCTGTAGACTTTCCTGTTCCTCTCTATCCTCCTCCTCGTCCTCCTCTTCCTCCTCGTCGTCCTCCTCCTGCCCCCCGGGCCCTCCCCTCCCCCCAATGCTCTCGAGCTGTTCCACCGCCCACCCCCCATCCTTCCTCTCACCCCCCATCTCCGCCTCCTCCTCCTTCTCCCCACCCCCCTCCTCCGTTTCCTCATTCTTCTCCTCCTCGTTCCCCCCCCTCGCCCGCTACTGCACCGCGGCGGCCGCCGCGGCCGCCTCCTCGGCCCTGACTTTGCCGACGGCCGAGGCCATTAATTCCGTGGCGGCCGGGTCGGCCGCCGCCGCCGTCGGCTCGGCCAGCTCGGCCTCCTCGGCCGCGGCCGCCGCCTCGGCCCCCGGGGGCGTCGCGGCCCCGGCCCCGGCGTCGCCCGCCTCCGCCGCCGCGTCCTGCTCTGGCGGCGGCGCCCCGGGGGCCGCGCCCAGCGCCGGGGGGCTCGCCGCCTTGCGCCGCTTGGCAGGCGGCGGCGGCGCCATGTCGCCAGCTGCCGCCTTGGCGGCGGCAGCAGGCGGGGCCGCGGCTGCCGCCCCCCCCCCCCAGCTCCTCTGAGGAGAATGAAGAAGAGGAGGCGGAGGAGGGGGCGGAGGAGGAGGAGGCGGAGAAGCACGAGGAGGAGGAGGAGGAGAAGGAGGAACGAGGATGTATGAGGAGGAGAAGAAGAAGAAGGATGATTAGAACGAACATGAGAAGAGGGGGCGTCAGCATTAGGCCTTGAGGATAAACAAAGTGATGAGGAATAACGTGAATATCCCAACCAGCATTCCATGAGACCCGCGGTGGCGGACTTGGCCGAAGGCCATTATGAAAGTGGGGAGGGCTAGCGCGAGGAGGAATGAGCAGCGTCCTTCTGCGCCGCTTCCGCGTAGAGCTTCGCGCGCTCGGGCAAGTGCTGCGCCGCAATGGCGCGCGCGCGCTCGCCCACCGCGCCTTTCGTCAGGGCCTCGACGCAGCGCCTGGCCGGGCCGTGCTGGGGCTCACCCTCGCGCAAGGGCCTGGAGCACGCCAGCGTCGCGATGATGGCGCCTCCCAGGAAAGGCAGAAAGTCGAACCGCACGGTCCTAGGATGATTTAGGAGAAGGAAGAATAGAAGGAGCATGTGTGAGACGATGAGGGGGAGGAGGAGGAGGAGGAGAAGGAGGAGGAGGAGGGGAAGGGGGAGAAGGGGGAGGGGGAGGAGGAGGACGAGGAGGAGGAGGGGGGGGGGGGAGGAGGAGAAGGAGGAGGAGGGGAAGTTGGAGGAGGACGGGAAGGAGGGGGGATGGAAGAGTAGAAGGAGGAAGGGGGAGGAGGAAGGAGGGCGAGGAGGGGGAGGAGGAGGAGGGGAGAATGAGGGGAAGAAGGAGGGTGATAACGAAGTCTTGAACCCATCGCCGGCACGCCCCCCGCGGCTGCGCCCCAGGCCCCCAGGGGCCAGGCGCCAGGGGCCAGGGGGGGGGGGGCCCGGGGGCCAAGCGCCATGAGCAGACCGCCATCCCATCGCCTCACGGACGCGGAGACGGAGACGGAGAAGGAGAGGCGGATGAGGAAGGAGGAGGGGCAGGATGACGAGTAGAAGAAGGAGGAGCAGGAGGAGTAGGGGGGGGCGACGATGAGGAACAGGAGGAGGAGGTGGAGGAGGAGCATAAGGATAATGAGCAGGAGGAGGAGAGGATGAGGAGGAGAGGCAGCCGCTGCCTGCGAGGCCCCCGGCGCGGATAACGCCCGCCCGGCTGCCCACGGGGCCGGCCGCCTCGCCGAAGAGGCCCCGCATCTTAGCTCGCACCTGGGCCGGCGAGACGGGCGAGAGGATCGCGCGGGGGCGGGCGCCATGGAGGAGGGGGGGGAAGCGAGAGGGAGAGAATGATGGAGAGCGAGGGGGGGGGGGCGAGGGCGAGAGGCGAGAGGGGGGGCAGGGTAGAGCGGCGCGGCACCGAGCGACGGGGGTGGGGGGGGCGACGAAAAGGCGGGGGGTGGAGAGCGAGGGGGGAGAGAGGGGTAGTAGGGCATGCGCGGGAGGAGAGAGGGGGGGCGGTAATCGCTTAGGCCGCCCAACCTTCGAGCAAGCCTCATCCCTCAATGTCTTCACCGCGTCGACCAGAGCTTTGGACTCGGCGCGCGACACGATGGCGTAGACGTCGCATGGGATTCCACCCCCCCTCCTCCCCCCCCCTCCTCCTCGCCCTCCCCCGCCCTCCTCTCCGGAGAGGGGTGGCAAGCCCGATGGCCCGAGCTATCGCTGGGCCCTAAAAGACGGCCTCGTTCTCTTTGCCCCAGTGCCCGAAAAACACCCTCCTGGGAACGGAACATTCAGAAACAACAACCTCGAACGTTGGGCCCCCCAACGACCGGCTCCGCATCGCATCCTCTTCTCCCTCCCCCACCTCCGCCTCGCCCCTCCGTCTCGTCGGGGGCCCGCGGCCTCGACCGAGGCCCAGTCGCAAAGTCGACATCTGCAGTAAGGGCGGAAAGCGAGGGCGCATGGCCCTTGGAAGCCCCAGCCCCATGGGCACACCCCGAGAGGCTAACCACCGAAGACAGCGAAGGAGTAACCCCAGAAACAAGGATGCAAGGAACGGCTTCCTCGAGGGAAGTACTCGTCCTTACTATGGTTTTGACTGTGTACCGTATCGCATTGCGCCCCCCCCCCCCTCCTCCTCTTCCTCCTCCCCCCCCTCCTCCTCCACCCCCTCCTCCTCGTCTTCCTCCTCGTCCTCGTCATCCTTCTCCTCCTTCTCCTCGCCCCCCCCCGTGCCGCTCTCGTCCTGGCCCACCGATCGGCGCGACGTCGAGCACGTCGCCAGGCTTCGTGCACTTGGCAATCGCGTCGTGGGGCGGCCTGCCGACAGAGCTGATGAAGACGCCCGCGACGGCCTCCACGTGCGCGGCCATGGCGCCCAAGAAATCGCGCAGGACATCAAGGAGACAAGCCTTGTCCGAGCCTAAGGCCGCCCTGCGTGCCCCGACGGCGTCGCCGGCCATCGTCGCGAGGGCATCGGACAAGCCGTTGCAGCGAGAGGCGAACTCGGCAATCTGCGTCATCGTAGCATCGGCTGCCTTCGTCGAGTCCAGGTGGCTCGAGATAGCCGCAAGTCCTGATGCGCTGGCGTCGCCGTCGGTGGTGTCGGCGTCCTCTAGCGCTGGGGTCACCACCGCCGGGCGCTGCTTGAGCTTGAACACCCAGGGGGGGCGCGCGATCGCATCCGCAGTCAACTTGGCGCTGCCATCGCCAGCGCAATTCGACACCTCCATCTCGTCATGTTGAACAAGCATGCGGAAGTTAGCGACGGCGGCGCTGGCGGTCTGCATGATCTCGTCGGTAATGATGACCGTTTCGTCCGTCGCGTTGACCATGGCCTCCTCCAAGCTGACGGGGGCCAAGCGCTGCATCGCGATGGCGATATGGCGCGTTCGCTTAAACAAGGGGCTCGCGATCAGGAGCTGCTTGCACTTGTCGGAGATGGTGCCGACGAGGTCGTTCTTGAAGGCAGCATCACATCGAGATATGAGGTTGAGCAGCCCTGCGTCCAAGCCAACAGCGGAGTCGATGCCCTTGATGGCCAGCTCCGCAAGGGCAGTTGTAGTGGCGTCCAGCACGTCCAGCTGCATCGTCGCCATGTCAGTCAGCCCCGCCGTCAGGAGCTTGACATTGGCATCCAAGTGCGCCAAGAACGAGGTCGCACGTGCAATATGATCCGTGTCCGCAATCCGAGCCAAGCCAGTGGCCTTGGCATCTGCCAGCGCACAGCCTGTGAAGCGCGCTGTCGCTGCCCGCGCCTTCTCGACATCGCCCGGGTCGATGTCCGCGTTGGCGACGTGGCGGATGCAGTTCCGCAGCTCGGTGATCAAGGGCACCACGCAAGCGGCGACCTTAGCGATGATGCCTCTGGTGAGCACCTGCGAGCAGCGACCGATGACGGCGGCAATATCATCAATCTATGCCTGCTGGATATTGGCAAACCTTTCGGTCATGCCCTTTGTGAGACCAGCCATGCCCCCGACCAATGGCTCCAGATTCTCTTGGGGGGGCAGGATGCAAGTGGACGTCCACATCGCCATCTTTGATATCCAACTCTTCCGGAAGTATGTCATTGATACTTTGCGAAGTCTTGACGAAATCAGTAAGAGCGACCAGAGAACCCGAGTCATGGGCGACGGAAGCCATTTCACTGTCAACCTGGTCAAGGAGCATGATCTCCGTCGGGAATGCTCTCAGAAGGCGCGCAAACCGAGACTTGTTCTGGCCCACGGTATCCTTGAGCTTGTTCTTGACAGCGAACGCCTTCTCGATATCCTCGTGGCAGGCAGCCTCGGTCACCAGCGCAATGCAGACGAGGTCCTGGACGTCCTCGCGCAATGCCGCATCGATCAAGGAGCCCATGATGCCCTTCAGAGCCCTGACAGGGGAGGTGCGCCAACCCCCTCCCTCTTTGCCCTACTATCTCCCCATCCTCCTTATCCCCCTCCTCGCCCTCCTCCTTGTCCTCATCATCTTCCCGCTCCCCCCCCCCCCCCTCCCTTCCCCCCCTGTCCGCCCCCCCCTCCCCCCGTTCCTCCTCGTCCTCGCCTTATCCGTCTCATCCTTGCCATCGTCTCCATCCTCCTCCTCGGTCTCCCCTTTTTCCTCCCCCTCCTCCCTGCGCGCCCTGGCCCACGCCTGGGCGTTGCTGACATTATCGTCCTTCCGGAGAATCTCAATGGTGACTTCCGCAACGACCAGCTCCTGGATCTTCGTCTTGACGGACGTCTCGGCACGGTCGAACAGGGCTTTTGGAACGCGGTCGCCGTTCACGCAGCAATTCAGCGCCATTTCGCACTTCCCCGCGTCGGCGTGAAGCTTCGCAAGCGGAACCCAACATCGAGTGATCAACCCCGTAGGGAAGCAATCGGCGGCTATACCGTTCAGCGCGCCGACGATCATGTCCTCGGTCACACCCTTGGCGGCTCCAACCTCGATGAGAGGGACGTGCATCGTCAGCTTCGACTCCACGTTCTTCAACTCCTCGAAGACGTCAAGCCCTGTTCGAGACTGACCAGACATCTGGCTATGGAACTCGATGTCCGTGTACACCGGCATGACTTTGTCACTCATGCGACCCTGGAGGGCGGCCAGTCGCGCCTTCGCCTTCTTGAGAAAGCTCACGCGCTCATCCATGTTCGTGTCGTCGTCGAGCTGAGACACAATCTGCTTGGCCGAGAGGATGGCCGTCTCTGTGAGATTGAATTCGTAGATCGATTTGCCAGCTTTGCTGCTGCGGCCAGCGCCCTTGCTGGCGCCCCCCCCCCGCCAGGGCCACCGCGACCAGCGCTGCGCCGTCTGCCGTCATCGGACGACGGACAGCGACAGCGCCCCCAAAGGTAAACGGCAGGTCCGAGAGCTCTATGACATGTTGACTGGGCGGCTGGCAATCTCAGTGAACGTCGACAAGGCCGACGGCGCTCCATCTATTGGCTATGCCGCCCCACCCAGACGGATCGAGGATGACATGATCAACTCTGGCGCCGACGCTGACGATTTCGATTGGCTGTTCTCGTCCGTATTGCGATCGGGGCGACGGCGACGACGACGACGACGCGGGCGGGCCCGCTCCGGACGCCCCCCCCCCCCCCCACCACCACCGCCCCACCGCGCCACCACCGCGCCCCCCTCCCAGTCTGCCGACGCCCGCGGAAGCGCCCGCCAGGGTGGGCCCCGCAGGTCTTGCTTCGGTCGCGGCCGCACCTCCGCGTGGGCGCCGAGGATCAGGGCTCGCGGGCCTTGCGCGGGTTGGGCGGCGGTGCGTTTGAGACCCCCTGCCCCGCAGCCGCCCTTGTTCGCCTCCTAATCCCACGCCCTCCTCCTTCTCACCCTCGCCCCCCCGCGGCCCAGCCCGCCGCCTCGCTCGCCCTCCCCCCCCCCATCCTCAGGATGTGCAGCGGGGGTCTGCGATCATCTATAGGCGCTTCCCGCGCCCCCGCCATCCCATCCAGAAGCGATGCTCATGGCAACGCTCGGGGGTGGGTGGTAGCATTGGCGAACTCATGAACTGTTCAACTGGGCGGGCGGTAGGTGTTTGGGGGTGGAAGAGGGGGGGCAGGGAGGGGCAATGCTGGGGGGGGGGGGGGGGGGGGGGGGGGGGGCATAGGCACGGTTGCCGCCGCGTTGCGCAGTACTTGCGCATCAGGAAAGAGTGCACATCATGAGTCGCGAAACCGCGAGGGGGTGAAGGGGGCTTGCGGCGGGGGGGGATGGGGGGGGGGGCGCCGGGGGCTCGGCTCGAGGACGGGAACGGGCCCCCCGGAAAACCGCTGCGCCCGACAAAATGTGGCCCAGGAGGTCTGGTCCTTTTCGGTCGGGCCCGCCAGTGATGAGGAATGGGCGGGGCAACCCCGCGCAGCAGACCATCCCCACTAGAGGGAGAGAGGGTTCTGGCTGAGCACATGAATGCATCGTTGGGCCACATTGGCCCGAAGGGATGCGGGGGGCATTTTGTTTCACCAACGTTGCTTGTTCCTTTCCTAAACGCGCCCGCCCGTTTCTCTCCCAGGGCTCGGGGCATGCCGCGGTGGCGGGTCCGCAGGGGTTGCGGCACAAGCTCCCGCGCGCGCGCCCTCTCGCAGTGAACTCGGCCCGAAGTTGCGCCTATCCGATGACGGACGGCATTGGCGCAGGCGGCGATGGCGAGCACATGATTGGCAATTCTGGCTTCAGCGATGATACGTGCCAGCAGCAGCTTTGGGCCAGGGCGCCCGTGAATACATGGTCGGGGCCGCGCGAGGACGCGCCGCCGATGGCGATCGACGGCGTGGCCTTTGGCCTGCCCGCGATCGAGGATATGGCCGTTGGCTTGCCCGCGATCCAGGATATTTCCTTTGGTTTGCCCGCGATCGAGGATGCGGCCGTCGGCGCGCCAGACTCCGACGCGCTCGGCCCCCCCGACGACGGGCGCGAGGAAGGCATGGGGAATGGCGAGGCTGACGGCCCCAAATCACCTTCGGCATCGCCGCCCCCTGCCGCGCCAGCGCCTGCCCCCTCGCTGCAGCCGCCCGCCGCGCGCGGGCAGGCCCTGTCGGCCCGCCGCGCCTTCGGCGCGATGGCCGGGGCCTGCGCACGCGCCTTAGCGCGCAGCCGTTCCACGACGGCGCGATTGACGCCTGGCCCCCCCCCCCAGCCCAGGGTCGCAGAGCTGAAGTGGACGTGCTCCGTTGCGTTCGAGGCGCGCGCGCAGTGCGAGGCGGGTTTCGCGGAGCCTGCGGGCGACGACCCTCGCAGTGACAAGCCCAAGGACGACCGCCGCGCGGACGAGGGCGCGACCGATGGCGTCGAGGCGCACGCGGGCCAGCCCGCTGCTCCGACCAGCTGAGCCGGGTTCCCGAGCTCTGTTCCAGTGCGCGGTTGCGCAGCATGCGTTACAGCCTGCGCTGCGCATGCGCAGCTATTGCGTTTTAGGTGCTCTCTAGTATTGCACGCTGTGAGACTCCTAAATATAATGGGCGGGCCCGCCCCGCGAGCCGGTTGCAAGCGGCCTGCTATTGTCGCGGGCGCTCGCGCCCACGCCCAACGGTCGGATGGGCGCGCCTGCCGATGACGACGATTGCAGCGGCGACTGCGCCGACCACGCACTCGACGACGTCTACGTGCAGACGTTGGGGGCCAGAGGGCAGGGTCTTTAACGTCAGCGCTGGGGGGGGGTCTTCCATCGGGCGCGGGGCGGCACTCCTGGCGGCGGTCTTCATATAGAGCAGGGGGCGGCCGCAGCCACCGCCACCGTCGTCGTCGTCGCTTCCGCCTCGGCGTCGCCGCCGACGCCGTCGCCGCCGCCGCGGCCCCCGCCGCCGCCGCCGCCGTCATCGTCGCATTCGTCGTCCTCCTCCTCCGCTTCTGCTTCGCCGCCGATGCCGTCGCCGCCGTCGTCGCCGTCGACTTCGCCGCCGCCGCCGTCGTCGCCGGCGTTGTGGGCGCCGTCGTCGTCGTCGACTTCGCCGCCGCCGCCGTTCTCGTCGCCGTCGTCGTGGACGTCGTCGTCGTCGTTGTCGACTTCCGCCGACGACGTTGCCGTCGACTTCGCCGCCGCCGTCGTCGTCGCCGCCGTCGTCGTGGACTTCGCCGCCGCCGTTGTCGAGGTCGTCGCCTCGACGCCCACCCCGCCGCGCCTGGCAGGTGCATGCGGCCGCGTGCATGATGATCGTGAAGTCGTCTCTGGGCGCGCATCGGCGCGTCTTCCGCTGCCATGCTGAGCAGGGGCTGGCATCTCGCGGAGGCGTGGGAGGGCGATTCGGAGATGGAAGAGGGGGTGGGCAGGAGGGGGGCGATGAGGCGGACAGCGGGGGCGCTGATCGGGGTGGGGGGGTGGGGTCAGGAGTCGATGGGGGAGAAACGACAACTGCGACGACGGCGACGACGACGGCGGCGACGACGGCGACTACGACGGCGGCGGCGGCGACGACGGCGGCGGCGACCGCGACGATGACGACCATGATTGCGACGACGACGGCGGCAACGACGAGCGACGAATGACTGCAGTGATGTCTGTCCCTGGCCAGATCCACCCACGTCATCCTTGCGCGCTGCGCAGCATGAGTACCTGGGCGTTCGCGCCCATCATTGGCTATGCCCTTTGCCCGTGCCCTCCGTGGCGCCTGGCCATCTGCGTTGCGGATCATCTTGCGCGCAGTGTTGTTTAACCAGTTGCATGGCGCGCTCGCTTGCCGACGAGGGCAATCCTCGCGGCCTGACTTGGATGGGCTCGGGCACCACCGCATGTGTGAGTAAATGTCACGTTCGTCACTGCCCCCTCCATCTGGAAGCCATCCCGGGGGTCGCGTTTAGGATATTGTTCCCGACGTGGTGCGCGGGTGGATGCGGGAGGCCGTGGACCTTCAGCATCAGGTTCCTGATGTGGCGTTCGGGGCGTGGAATGACGGTGAGCGCCCTGCTGGGCATCTTGCCCCATTGTGTGGCAGCGACAACGTAGGGCTTTTGACCAGAGGGGCGCGCCCGAAGCCAGTCGCCCTTCCCCCTGGGGGCGACTGTGGGCCCTGGTGCAGAAGTGGTGGGAAGGGGGGCGGGGGCGGGCGCCGCTCGGCCGACCCCCATGGGCCCCTCGCGGGGCCCACCTCGGTGGCGGGCCGAGCACTGGCGTGCCCGAGAGATTCGCCCGGTCGATGGGATGCCCAGCTCGGAAATCTGATGCGTTTCGTGCGCAGCTCCTTTCGGCTACTGTTCGAGCAGCCGTCCGGGCCAGCAAACCAGCCCCAATGGGCCCGCCAGCATGCCTCCGAAGGCGACGGGGGCAAATCCCAACGAGCGCCGCAGGCGCGCCCTCATGCGCCGAGCAGCAGCGCGATCAAGCAGACGACGCGCAGCACTGAGACGCAGGCGGCCAGCAGCAAGGCCAAGCACGCGCCCACGCAGGCGCCCATGGACCAGAGCGAGCACGACGCGATGGCCAAGCTGGCCGACAAGTGCGAGCGCCAGCAATAGAAGGCCGCCGCCTTCAAAGCGTACCAGAAGGAGGTCATCAAGGTACACCGCAAGACGATCCGCGATATGCGCAATACCATCAAGCGTAAGCAGGGCAGGATCGACCGCCAGCAGCAGCTCACGAAGCTCCATCGCGAACAGCTCAGGGAGTGGATGGGGCAGCAGCGAGACCCTCGCGCGCCAGAGGGCCGCCATGCAGGCGCGCCAGGAGGCCATCATCAAGAATCGCATGGAGACGATCAAGACGTCGAAGGGCAAGCCTGCCTGCAAGGGCGCCACTTCGAAGTGCGCCAAGGGCGCCGCCGCCAGGGCGCTCAGACGCACCGCGAGGAAGCCGCATCGAGGCCTCCGAGAAGACAGACCAACGCTCCCTGCAGCCCCGCAACTTCGAGGACATGAGCCCCACGACGCGCAAGGCGCCCTACGCGCCGCCGCACGAGCGCGGATAGAGCATGGCGGCCCGCCCGAAGACGCGCCAGTTCGCGCTGCTGGCCCATGCCCATGCCTCCTCCCGCCCCCCCCAGGCACCCCCTTGTTCCAGCTGCCCGCGGGCCGTCGGCTCTCGCCGTCGCGCGCGTCTGCCGCCGCAGGAGGTCGACGCGACATGTGAAATCCTCCCCCCCTCCCCCTTCTCCTTCGTCCTCGCCCTCCTCCGCCGCCCCCCGCCTGCCCGCGCGGCGGATGTCCTTGCCGGCGCCGCGCGCCGCGCCCTCGCTGGCACTGTCGCAGGTGCCCGCCAGCATCGCCTCGCGGAGGCAGTCTCAAAACGGCATCGGGGGGTCCGCTCGCCGCTCGCTGTCGCCCGACGGTCCCGAGACATGATGAATTTTCGACCCAGCGACCCCGCCGTGGCCTTGCTGTCGG